TTATTCATGAATTCATTTCTTTAATTTTTTAAAAAATTTGTTTTTTTAATAACAATTCATAATTCCTTTTTTAAAGCAGGTTTTATAATATATCAAGTCAATTGTCCACTTTTTTCATTTCAATTTATATTTAATAATTAGCTAATGTAAGTAAAAAAAATTTTTTTGAAAATTTTGAAAAAAAAATGTACAATGTAATTTATAATTATTATTTCTTTTGCTAAGATCTGTACAAAAAAATAAGAACTGAAGAGGAGTCATTAATTAAGACCTGAAATGCATTTCCATTAATAATGCCTATATCAATAAGAGTTCCTTGTGTGTTAAGTTACTGAAAAAAAAGGCCAAAAAAACTGTTTTTTTCAAAAATCCACAGAAACCAGTAACAAAATGAGCAATTAAATGGAATTTAGTTACATATAAATATCAAAACAATAACAGTAATTATCAGCAAATAATATACTTTACTAAACACCAACCACAGCATTAGCAATATTTGAAACCAAAAATGATGTACAGGTACTGATACCTTTCAACAAAGCAAGTCTAATACACCCAATTAGGAAGTGAACCAATCTGAAACATCTGCAAAAACTCAAAATTTACAAAGTTACTTTTTAGAACACTGCAATAAATTACAAAAATGCCAAGATATACACTAAAGCAGAGGTCCCAATCTTTTTATCACCGCGGACTGGTCAACGTTTGATATTTTACCGTGGCCCAATGAGGGGGACGTTGATTGTATTTTAGATTGATTTAATTTAATTGTATTTAAACATGCCTTCAAAATAAAATATAGTTACATCAAAAAATGAATATAATGTGATTTAACATTTTAACTCACTAGAACGGTAAATCAATGAGAACCCTGAGCTTGTTTCTTTGCAACAAGACGGTTCCATCTGGGGGTAATATGAGACAATGACACCCTAAGTGTGTTTCTTATGTCCAGTTTATTCCGTTGTTCCATCGTCCATTAAAAGTCGCACAAACCGAGAGAAACACACCATAGTAAATAAAATGGAAATACCAGTAATTTAATGTTCCTTGGGTGGCCTGGAACCTTTGGTCCACTAACCAATACTGGTCCGCAGCCTTAGGGTTGGGGACCACTGAAAAATCCGTCTTCGAACTACACCTATAATTTAAGTCTTATCTTTTGCATCATTGTCGACATCTGTGCTCTCCACCAATGAAATAATTATTCCATTTTGTTTAAAGTGACATTCAAATTTCCATATATATGTTTGACTGCTATTTTAACCTGATGATGATTTAAAAATCATCAAAGATGTTTGTTTTTGTTATTATTTAGTAAAGTATATTATTTGCTAAATACTACTGGAATCATTTCATTATTCATCTTGAATGTTACTTGTTTACTCTAATCCTGAACCATTTGAAGTTATTCTGTGTGAGAATTTTAGTCTAATGTATTTTGAATCTTCATTAACTGAAAGTTACTCCAACATTCACCATTAAAAGACATTTTTTGCACAATACTTATTATTTTTGTAATTTCATACATGTTATTTCTCTACATAAATTAATTTCTCAATCTTATATTTCACTAAATCTCAATATTTTCATATTCTATATTTGCAAATTCAATTCCAACAAACCATCAATTCAAATAATTTAACTAAATGTTATGCACATTTTTCAGAAAATAATAGAATTATATAAGTTCTCTGTTAGTAAGCTATAAATTAGACTTCTATTTCTACTTATGTAAGTTCTTTAGCTAGATCTTATCTCTTAGATAAAAAAAATTTTTATTCTACTAAAAACAATAATCATATAGTTACTTTCAATTGTTAATAAATTTATTTCTCTCCCCTATAAAACAGTTAATTTAAATAGAGAGAGAGAGAGACAATCTGCTTTTAATAGACAAACTAATATCACAATTTAAAAATGTTATTGTTATTTCAGTACTCAGAGTAGACTATGAAAAGCTCTAAAATATTTGAAGTATCAATCATATTCATTATACTCCAAATACATTAAACATTATTTTCTAAATAAACATTCAAATGAAATACACAGTTGATTATTTTAATCTTTGTTTGCAATATTTATTTATTTTTATATTGTATACATTGATTTTTTTATTCACTCAACATTTTCTAGTTTCATATTCTTTATCTTCTTTACAGAATTAAAAATATTTACGAACTCGATATTTTTATGTCTGACATGACTTTTCATCATATTTGACAAAATATTCAATGTTGTTTTAATGTACAGCATCTAAAAATTTTCACAGGTTATCTATACTACTATTATAAAGAGGTAATGTTTGTAAGTAAGTAAGTAAGTTTGGATGTAGCGGGTAATCTCCGAAACTACTCATGCGATTTCAAAAATTCTTTCACCAATATTTAGAATGGAACTTCAGGGTGGACATAGGCTATATATTATTCTGTTAAACATTCATATAAATTAAAAGATACAATCTAGGTTAAAGCTTTTATGTCCAACAGATGGCACTACAAGTATGACGCCCTAAGTTTGCTTTTCTGTGAGGCATTACGTTTTTCTGCGAAAATGATCATCTAAAGCAGATCATCATCTATCTATCTATATAAATAAAAATGTAATGTTCGTTTGTTCCTACAGATTCCTTTGAAATTTTCACACAATGCTGCATTCAAATACGCACGTGTTTTTATATAATATATGTGTTGAAATTCCCCCCACTGAAGGGAGATGGTTAGGATTAAAGCTTACCATGAAGAATTTGGCTTCTATTATACTAGTTTAGATGCAGTTTTTTGCATTTTTGATTGTGTTTTAATAGGGTACATCAACAGAATGTACACTAAGAAGGGATTTTTCTATATTCCAGCCCGCGGGGGAGAGGGACAGGATTAAGGCTTACCGTGAAGAACTTGGCTTCTATTATACTATTTTAGGTGTGTTTTTTTGCTTTTTTTATTGCGTTTTAATAGGGTACGTCAAGAGAATGTACACTAAGAAGAACTTTTTTGAAAAATTCCCCCACGGGGGAAGTGTTATACATTTATAACAGATACATTTTGAGCCACAACAACACGTGGCGGGGTCTGCTAGTACTTTATAAATAGAACTTTTCATTTATATTTTGATAATAAATTTTTAGTCATCACCTAGTTTTATCAATACAAATGCTACTTATAAAAAGCTGAGATAAGCATTCAAATAATATAAATAATTATGCAAAAACTATCTTTAAATTTAAATTTTATGAACTTATTAGAAAACTTTGCAACAATAACTTTGTAAAATAGTAAATATAGTAGAAATAAAAATGCAAGCAAAATATTGCTATTTCTTCTTATTTTTTTTACTATTTTTAACACTGATATTATTTGATATCAAAACAGAATATTTAGTTTTGTGTTTGTTTCCACTAGAACAGAAATGAAAGAATAGATTAGTTTTTTAGTCACATTTTGATTAAGATTAAAATATCAATATTTAAGAATTAAATCTTTATACAAGGAACCACAGTCTAAAGCAAATAAAATTAAATAAAAAAATTTATTTTTAATGTGATTCTGAATACAAACAAAACTTTTAAAAATTGAATAAACTGAAAGTAGTAATTATTACAGGTTTTCATATCATATTAAATGTAATCATTTATTAATAAATACATAACAAATGTAATGGGCAGAACAATAATAAACTATAAACATTCACAAATTACAAGAAACAATAAACATTTTCATGATTGTTTATCTTCATCGGAAACTTAATCTCTATTATCAGATTAATGGGAAGTGTAATTTCAATGTTTATTAAATGGCCAATTACTATAATGTTCAGATATGTCAATTTAAGAATGTGATAAAACACAAACGTGATTCCAAATGTTAATATGATAATGGAGATTAAGCTTAAAAATATTAATTGAAGTATCACCATTAATTGTGTAATCCACTCAAACATAGTAATTTTATGTTTTCTTCTTCTCAATATTCAGTTTATATTTGCATTTTTTTTTTTTAATTTTTCTCTGTGTTTTTTAATTTCAGTGTGAAATTATAATCAATAATTTTTACAAGTTTTCAGTAAATATATTATTATTAAATTATTTTCTATGCTGAGTTATTGTAGGTTGGAAGTACAATGTGTAATAAAATGAATACAAATTTCTATTTATATACAGATAACATGTTCATTTTGTTAGCACATAATGTTGAATTTATAATTTAGATTTTATAAAAAATTTTTTAATAATATTTATCTCAATTTAAATTAGTCATTTTCCATCAACAATTTCTGCTTTGTAGATTATTTTCATTTAATTTTTGTATCTCGTGTTGAAATGTTAGGCTTTCTTTTTTTTCTTCCTTATTAGCATAAACTTAGAACATTCAAAAAGACGATATGATAGGAATTATATTCCAACACAATCTGGATTTTTATGAGGGATTACTATTTTTTGATGCTTTAAGCCCTGAAAATAAAGTTTTTATCTCCCATGTATTATAGACATTTTAAACATCCAATTTCCAAATAAAAATTATTATATAAATTTTTCAATTCACAACTTTTAACTTTGAGTCATAATTGTGGTTATATTTATATAACAACCAAAATTATAAATACCAGAGCCAAAAGATTGCCACTAAATATCAGGCTATTTTTCTGCTACTATTAATAATTAAGTTATAAGTAAAACCAAATTACTAATAATTTAATTATTAATAGTGTAAAAAAAATAACCCGATACTTTAATAATCAGAATAATTGCCACAATGTCTGGGATTAAGATGTTTATATATTATAAATACCAATTCTGAATGATAAATGCATGTTGTGATTCAATTTTTTATATTAATTCTTCAAAGTCATCAAAAATAAACAATTTTCACATAACTTTTTAATTATGAATGCTAATGCAATTCAACAATCATTTCCTATATAACTATATTTATAGTTCTAAATCAATTTCTGAGGAAAATGTCTTAAATTACTCATAACTTTTAAATTTATGAAAAACTTACTTGAATATTTAACTCTAAATTTTTCCATTGGCAAAACCTCGTATATTTCTCACTAAAGAAAAATTTAAAAAAAATTTAATTTATAAGAAAATTTTTAGTTTTTTTCTAGCAATTACAATTTACATAATTAAGATTAATTAACATTAAAAATGATGCATTAAATAATAGAAATTTGTAGAACTGATTGAGAAGAAAGCTCAAATTTTCTCTTAAAATTATAGTGAACCTAAATTAATGAAGCAATTCAAACCTGAATGAACAAAAATTATTTATTTTATTGAAAATTTCCAGCTGTTTATGCAGCCATCTTCAGGATCCTATAGAAATAAAATGGAATATGGTACAGAATACATGCATCATAAATAAAATTTAGAACAAGAATTGCATTTAAATAAGAATGCTGTATGGGAACCACAAACAAATAAAGTAAAAATAAAAATGAAAATAAATAAAGTAACAAATATAAATATAATGTAAGTACTAAGTGCAATTTTGATTCAGTATAACACTCATAAAATGTATTTCCAAACCAATCAAAGACACTGTGCCAATTGCAAAATTTACACATAGTGTAGGAAATAGTCAACCTTTCACAATTATTTCCTCTCCCAACACCATTTCAAGTTAAACAAAACTTGGCATTTAAACAAAGAAACGAGTCTTCACGTCATCGTTAATTACTACAGTAATTAGAGCAGTTAATTCACAATTTTCAGTATTATATGGATAAGAAAGGGGTGCTAAAATTCTTTCTTTTCTGTGTAAATCTTACAAGTAACTTTGAGAATTTCAATAGAGCACTTCAATATCTAAAGGTTTTCAATGACAATAAGTTAATTTGTTTATTTTATTGTTACAAATGCATAAATGAATAAAGTCATTCTCATTGAAAACCTTTGGATGTTAGAAATGTGTTGAAATTCTCAAACTTACTTGTAAGGTTTACAGAGAAAATAAAGTCACAATTTTCACTTTGTCCATAAAATGTCATGACAGTATCTATCCTAACCTTTCCCATCCACATCAGTTTTTAACTGACCAAAATTCTTTCTCTTCTCACCTCTCACCACCTGTATCATTCCATCCTTCCTGCATTCCTCTTCTATATCCCTGTTGTCTATCAAAATCTCATATTTTCCAAATTCAATTCATTTCATATTCTCTCTATTTTTATTTTTATTATTTTAAACAATCTATTAAACTTTCAAATTAAATCTTAGGAAATTAGACTAATGATAATAGACAAGCAACATTCATTACACATAGATTATGCAAACTCTGTTTAAACTTGTTAATTTTTAAAGTATTTTTTTTTTTTTAGTTGTTTGAAAAGCACTGTATTTTCAAAATAGGCTATGTTCCCAGATACAATTGACATGGTGGCTAATGTAGTTGTATATTTTACTTTTCACACATCATACTGGTGTCAATTGAGGTGTATGGGAAGGTTGAAATACATATAACCTCCATACACTTCTAAGATAATTCTCTTAGCATAAAATAAACAGTATCTCAAATACTTGAGACAGCGTTTCCATCAATGTGATCCTTGTTATATAGAAAACTATAAACTATGTGATTATGCCTGTATGGTAATTTTGTGTTCCCATATTTAGTGGCTTTTCCGTACATGGCTTCTGAAATCTGTTGTATGTTCCCATAGCAACCTTACTCCCCAATGATATATATCTGATAAAGAACTTATTATAGTTGTAAGAGTATATAAAAATAAAAACAGTACAATAAAAACATACACCAAAAAACTAGAAATAAATTCCAGTGTAAGTTTAATGCAAATAAACTGTGGACAAACGTTTAATCTTTGTGAGAAAACTACATCAGGTCCAAAATTCTAATTTAATTTAAAATACAAGAAAAAGAACTGTTACATAATATGAAATTTTGGAAAAAAAAAATGCAAAGTGTTAATACAAATAAAAATGAACATAAATAAAAATAAACAGCCTAAATACTAAATACAAAATAGCCTCGCTACCCTTATATATTTTAAAGGAATAAGAATTCTTAATTTAACATTTTGAAGTGCAAGCATCTTGCACATATTTGTCAAATAACGACTTCATGGTATATGATAAGTATTTATTAAGCTTGAAATTAACAGAATACAGTGGTATCTCATACTTTAAATTTGTTAAAATCTTCAGAGTTCAAATTCTAAATTCAACAAAAATTTACTTCAGATTGAACTATTCATGAAGTAAAAAATGTACTCAATGTGTAAATGTATTATGTTCTGCATCAAAGTCATATGTATCTCTGTCATGCTTGTATATTTTTAGTACTTTTTTCACTTTATTTTTGGTGTTTGGTTATTCACTCAATTGCTTATTTAATATATTTGGGGATATATTAACTTTCTCAATGCTTTTCACATTTTAGAACATCTTTTATTTTAAATTAAATTTCTGTATTCCATCCACGCGCACCACTTATTTTCATAAGTTTGTTCGAAAGATAATCTTTTAAACTTAAGTGGAATTAGGATGTGAGAATTAATTTCTTTTCCATTATTACTAATGGAAAAAATTGATTCAAAGTTTGAATAATTCAGAATTCAAACAGTCTCCTAGAATGAATTTTAAATTTGAAGTATGAGACACCACTATAACACTTTTGTTCCAATTTCAATATTTCACTGGCTTCCAGTGCCCTGATAAGTTCATGTTGCTGCACTCTTTTGATGAGAATAGCTGTACCAAGGCAGGCTTGCATGTCATTTTCAGATGCATATATTATCAAAATAGTGGCTTGTTAATTTTATCAGTATCATTTTTGTGTTTGGTCAGTCTCTTTTTCACGGATTGTTTAGTGGAACCTATATACTCTAGGTCAGAGGTTCCCAATTTATTTTTATCATGAAATAATTTTCATCTTAATAAAAAATGTTAGAACCCTGACAATAACACATGTTGGAACCATGCAGATATCAACAAATTAAAGCATACTAGATAGCCACTTTACACCAAAACTGAAACCAGAAGTGAAAGTACAATTAAACATAATGAAAATTAATTAAAATTAAAATCAAATAAACTCAAAATTAAAACAATGTTTTTAAAAACCATTTAAAAGTTGTTTTGAAATTCTCAAATTGTAAATCAAATTTATTTTTAAATTTAGATAATTTGTGTGCAGTGGTGACAGAACATTTTGCTTTTGATATATGTACAGATTTAACAATTGTATTTTTATTTATATGTTAAATCCTTTTTAAGGTTATAATTTTTTAAATGATTTTATAGCTTCAGTTTATGTTTTACTAATTTTATGATTTCAATTACCTTGTCAAACATTATATCATGATTTTTGTTCATTCTGTTACCAATAAACCAGTCCCCATTGTTTATAAAGCTATAAATAACTATGAGAACTCTATTAGAGACTATATCAAAATACAAGAACTCGATCCAAGACTAGATCAATTACATCTAACACCCCAAATCTATATTGACACATTCATACATAACTAGACTCGATTGATTTTATCGTAAAAACCCTAGGATTATGTGGAACACAAGTTGAAAACTCCTGCGATAGGTCATGTTGGAATATCACTCGGAATATCACTTGATGAAATCTTGTATAATACTGATACCCTAAAAAATGTTAATGTTGATTTTTACATTACTGAAAATCTTCTAAACAGTAGTATTATATTCAGAATGATATCTTGCAAATAAATATTTGACTGTACTGGAGCTGGCAGTTGATTAAGTATAACATTTAAACAACTCTAGAGTTACTCTACGTATGGTAACTATAAATAAGCATATAAATTTAATAAATGAGCATAATTTAATATTCTCATGTAATTACTTGGTTCATATTAAATTATCCATAATTTTACCAGTTGACAATGACAAAAACATTAATTAAAAACCACGTGAGCCCAAGGGGGATGGGCCCAAAGATACTGTAAAAGTATCAATCCCGTTAGAACCTAGTGGATCCGATTTGGACTCTAGCGTTGATTCACGAAAAGTATTCAATGCCGTCTCTTCTGGTGAGGAAAGCAAGTAAAGGCCTGTGCCTTCAAATGCCTGAGCGAGGTGGAGACAAAGACAAACAAAGGCAGCCAAAGCCAAAGCAACAGAATCCGAGGGCAATAAGCCCAAGAAAAAAACCTGTGAAGGTCGCAATGGCCGTGGCGGAGGGGAAACCCTCCACCAAAAACAAAGGCGGGTCCAGAAAAAAGAAGGACCCTACCGCAGCAGTGGCCGGGAAAACAAGTCCAACCACCAAAGCTGAAACACCATTGTCAGCGCCTGTGAAGACACAGGAGAAGCTAGAGATGATCGAGCAATGGCAAGAGGTATTAGATGGCGTGCACGATTAGCTGACAAAGCTCCTCATGCACACTGACAACCGATGTCAGAAGGCCACTTGTGCCATAATCTACAATCTTTTCATTAAGGTTGCTGCCATACTCAATGCCCAGGAGGTCAAGATTGCCTCCCTCCAGGCAGAGAACAAGACCCTTCGTGAGGTTGTAGGTGGCAAACAATTGCCACCTAAAACACTTCCAGTGCAAAAGAAAGAAGACAAGGAAACCGTAGCCGGTGGTGCGTCCTACGCCACCATGACTGCCCGTCCGGCCCCAAAGCATGTCCAAGAAGGGCCACGGGATGTTGCCAAGCCACGCAGAGTTATTCCCACAAAGCACACGCTCTTGGTCTACCCTGCGAAAGAATCAATGACTAGTGACAGCACAAAGTCACTGCTTAAAATGCACGTTAACCCAGCCAAACTTGGCATTGGGATCAAGAACATGCGTAGAGTGCGCAACAATGGCATCCTGGTAGAGATTAAAAAGCACCAGGATGTCGCAAAACTGAAGAAGGAATTGATGGAGGGCTCCAACGAGCTCAGAGAGGCGGTCACATGCTGACTGCGCCAGAAGCACTGACTGAGGGTCGTACTTTTTGACGTTGGCCCAGACTTCACCCGTGAAGGTCTTGTGGAGACCATACAAGTCCAGAACAAACTTGGACTGCAGACTGGTGACCTGCAGACATGTTTCCTTATGAAGGG